GGTGTTGGAAGATTCAGACTGTGCAAAAAAAATTTTCCGCCCAGAGGAACAAGACAGATACTTTTTTCCTGCGGTAAAGTGCAGCGCAAGATATTTTTTCCAATATATTTCGCGGCAGAATATTTATTTTGCGCTTTCATATAACTATCGTCAGAGACGTAGCCGGGGTTTTCAGTCAGAGGGGGCCGAGAACTGAATTCCAAGAGGGGCCAAGGAATTTTCACTGTGCTTTATTTTATATGGTTATGTCTTAATGTTCCCCACACTAAAGCGTGCAGGTTTACTTACAAAAAATGTATAACTGCACCAAAACCTAAAACATGTAGGGATAGAGTAGAGTACTCGAAAATGGGGGAGGTACAGTATATGAATGACCTGTAACTTTTGGGGGTTCGGGGGCATGCTCCCCCGAGAAAATTGAAAATTTGAACCTCGGAAATGCTATTTCCTGCGTTTTCAGCCATGGATTCGCCCAACAACTTTGCTGTACTAAGCCTAAGGAACACTCACTGTCCTTTATTTTAAACAAGGGAAAATCACAAAATGAGCTTTGATTTCATATGTAAGAAAACAAGATTTCAATAACGCGATTTTTAACTGCCCTACGAAACAACAATGTTCCACCAAATATAGCTCTGTAGCTTTTCAATCGTTCATACAGATAGTTTGTTGGGGATCGGTTTGCATCCTCTTCAGAAATTTTTTAAAATGTAGACTCTCTAAACTGGCATTTTCGCATTAAAATCATCGTATATGCAGTACGTTCAACTTGCATCCTGTAGATGGGCCTTCGAAGCTTTAACAGTTTGGAGCTATGTTATCAAAAAACGCACACAGACTCAACCATCCAAAAATACTTTTTCTACCATGCATATTAGATATTTATAAATAACTTATAAACTTGTACATATCTTAAGCCCAGATTTTTTCAGGGTGGACGACAATTTTGCCAGGGAACGCCACTGGCTATCGTATGTTATAGGCTCCAAAGGCGGTAGAATCCCTCAGGCCTGTGATGTTGTTCACTGTTCACCCCGTGTTCTTTTAAGCAAATGTGCCTGCTCAAAAATGCAAAATCGTGCAAGCGTGTGGACACAATACTGAAGTGAAGAACGTTGAGCGCTCTCTTTTGCATGATTTTTTTTTCTCGATTATATGCTGCATGATTTTTTTTTCTTTCTCCTTGGATTGCAGGAATTTTTTTTTTTTAATCTT